AAGTCATTCCAGAAAGAAAAAAATGGTAATTTTGATTTATTTCGATTTTCTTTTTGGTGGTTATGAGGTCAGTCAAATTGACCAACCTTGTATAAAGTTAGGGTAGAGAAAATAATAGCTAAAATATAAAGTTTTACTGAAGAAAAAAAAACATTTGAAGTTTATGTAGGAGGTTTTAGAGATTACACAAATAAGATTTGAGATTTTTGAGGTGAAGAAAAGTATTTTTATTCTCAACTTGAAAATCACTTTGCACTCGGACTAGTATACAGAAATACTATATTTATTCATGGACAAATCTCTAGTAAGAAATATTTCATTAAAAAACCTGAATTTTTGTGTATAAAAGAGTTGTAATATTTACTAAAATTCTGCCAAATTTTGTGATGATACACAAAGTGTGTTAAAGTTTATAGTATGGAAACTATAATGACTACAAAATGGTTACGAGTCAGTCAGTTTGACTGACCTTGTAGCGAGAGAGTTAATGTGAATCAACAATATGCTTTTAGATGACCCTACATTTCAGTCATAATATGATCAAGTGCATTAATAAATAAGCTTCTGACAATTATTTATGGATAAACACATTTACTGTGTATTAAAAACTTGATTTCTTAATGTTCTGCTCTTATTTTAACTTAATCTATATATCAGTTCTTCTGGGAAAAGTAAACTGCCTAGTTTTTTTAACCAGTTATTTTGCTGAAGATAATTTCATGTAAAGGATAGAGCAATAGCTTCAATAATGTAAATCCCTATAGATGTAAATGTAGTACATCTTCAAAGATTTATGACCTTCCTCATCAGTTAATAAGACTGGTACTCTGTAACTCACATGCTTCTTATTTAGCGTAAAAAAGAAGTGGAAATTTTCTATACTTATGTATCTTCAAATTAAATTATTGCTTATTTACAAGCTACCATTAAATGTGAAGGATTTTTTTAAAGTAAAAAATAAGACCCCCATCTAAAAGTCATTGTATTTTTTACCATTATTTTTAATTCCCAGGTGAGTACAGTTTTGTTGAATCAGACGTAAGAATGTTACTACTTGCATTAAATAGTTCATGTAAGGTCACATCAGGAATGAGATTATCTGCAATGTAGATATAGGTAAGAAAATTAAAGATACTATGTTAACTAAATGTGTACTGAAGTTTGTTTATTCTTTTATTTTCATAGACTCATCTTGTGTGCACCGTTCCACCTTACAGGCTGAGATCCATTGAAGAACCAGTCATGGTGCAGGTATTTGTGAAAAGTGGGGGTAAAACAAGTGATCCCCACTTTTTCACATATTTACCTTATCCTAAAGGTATATGAGATGTTTTGTTTTCTCATCTCATTCCTGAAGTTTTGGTTTTACCTGACAAGCTTAATCCTCACCAGTACTGTAAAGTAGTTTTTGGAGTTATGAATATTGAAAATAACTTTAAAAACACAATCAATAAAATGTTAAGATAAATACATGTCTAAAGGAAAAATATAAGCATATTGAATCAAGTTTTTCATAAGAATTGTCACAAAAATATTTGGCCTTGGTACTGTAGTGAGAAGTAAGCTTTGTCATTAACATGAAAGTTCTGTTTTGAAGATTTAAAGATTGGTTTCATATTTATAATAAATATAAATCTAGAAAACGTGGTAACATATGGTGTTGGTTTTCATGTGTGCCTCTTGAATGAATACATTGTTTGATTAAATGGGTAAGACCTGCTGCGAAGAAAGTGTCATGTGGTGTGTGTGATGATCTTTCAATTAATTTGGCAGTTGTCTCCTAAAAACATTCTGAAAAGCCCATACTATACATATTACATTTACAGAAGTCAAAAACATTATTTTTCAAGCTATTTCCAAATCTGCATCATTATTGATTAGAGGTTTACATGATACACATGTTTCACTATGAAGTTACAGTTGTATGATAAAAAGTATTAAGCTGTTAAACTAAATTTTATTATGTTGAAAAGTATTCATCAATATTTTTATCAGCCTGTATATTTTTTGATTCAATTAAGATCTGATATACAGACTTTACTATATATATATATCAGGTTTTAATTAGTGTATGTTTGCATTTTGAAGTGTGTTTTCATAAGGACAAAAGCTTCACTCTGTAAAGCTGTGGAGCTCATTAACTTTATATGAATATATTTTTTAGTACATGTTTAAATGACAAAACACTGCTGTTACAACAGTTCTCTTATGAATTTGAATTTAATATTTTATGTGTATCCATCCTTCAGCTTTTGAGTAACATGATATGTGAACTTGATAAACTCTTTTTTTTTCCCCTTAATGGCCCCCCAGTGGCACAGTGGTATGTTTGCAGACTTACAACGCTAGAAACCGGGTTTTGATACCCATGGTGGACAGAGCACAGATAGCCCTTGTGTAGCTTTGTGCATAATTGAAAACAAACAAACAAACACAATTTTCCCCTAAATATCCAGCTATAAAGGCTAAGCTAATCCTAGTTTTTGGTGAGGCCTAGGGCATTGTGCCTAATGTCCTTGCAAAGTTGGTAGGCTTTTGATATAAAATTACATTATTTACTTCTGTGTTTCAGTTATTTCTTTATTAAAGATACTATTGAATTTTTTAACACTGTTTTTATGTTATTAGCTTTTACTATGTTTGAGATGCATAAATCTAAAAAAAATATAAGCATATTCAGTCAAGTTTTTCATAACAAAAGTTACAGAAATTTTTAGCCTCAATACTGTAGTAAGAAGTAAACTTTGTTATTAACTTGAAAATTCTGTTTTTAATGGCATATTATTTCTATATATGAGACGGCTGCAATGACTTTCAGTTGTTTGAAACATATCTATTCAGATATTGTGACTTACAGCACAAATTGACATACACTTGAGTATACTTGTTTTTAACTTTTGCTAAATGTTGAAGTTTTTTTTCCAGCAGTTGTTTTACAGTATGCATTTTCACTATTTAATAATTAATATTAACCCCACCCAATGCTAATTTAATTTTTTCCACCATTCACATAACTCTTTCTTCAAGTCTCAAAATTATAGCATTAAATTAGGAAAACTTGTGTCACATGTAATCTCATTGTAATGTATACATAACTTTAATTTAAAGTAGGAAATCTATAAGCTTTTTTATGAATACAAATCTTGGTAGCTATATTATGTATTCATAATAACAGTGTATACAAAATAAATATGCTGCTAGGGTTGCCTGGTAATCAGTACTTTATTAGTTAAAAAAAGACATAACTTAGCTCATGTTTAAATAAACAGAAAGTGAAAAATGTCTAATGTAACCAACATTTTCAAATTTTTAGTTGATCAAACTTGATTCTAAAATTTTGTGTACGTTTTAACTTCTACTAAGAGATAAAATTGTATTGCTTTAAAAAAAACTAATAAAAACTATAAATTTTACCATAATAATAACAATAGTCTTCATAAACTGTGTAATTAAAAAAAAGATCAGTTCCAATACAGTATCTCATCTCGCATAATAGCTTCTATTGTTCAATGCTGCCCTCTATATGCTCAAATTTTTCCCTCACCACTAGCCTTGCAACTCCTACCTACCCCACATTCAACATTGTTCTACTGAGCTTTCCATGCAAATAAGCATACAGCAACCCTCCACCAATAGGAGCACTACATACACTCCTGACATAGGTTGCTCCATCTATACTAGTCAGCCTAACCTTCACTTCTCGTTTAGCCGCTATTGTGTTCAGATGTTATTGAATTTTGCTTGTGTTTTTTCACATTTGCACTCCCTTGATTTTTGTGTAGTTTCTTGAAATAGTAATCTGAAATAGTTCAGCATTTTAATTACAACTGGAGTTGGAGTAAACTTATCCCTGTTACTTTCTACTTTACTATTTAATTTGGTGAATTGATCTTAGTTGAACCATGCATTTGGAATTTTGTGTCACGAATATTACTAACATGACTACTACTATTTCGAATGTCATTTCTAAGGTTTCAGGTTCTACTCTTTTGGCTAAGGAGGTCTTGGCCTTGGTTTAACAGGAGCTTGAACACTACTTGCTTCTCCTGAACCTGGACAAGATTTTCCACTTCTGGAAGAACCTTGTCTTGATGATTAGGATTTGAAGAGCCTTTTTCCTTCCCTATCCTATGGTGAACAATCCTGTGTGTCACCTGTGGATGCTGCCAGACTTTTTTGTCTTTTTGGATATTTCACAGTTATTTTACATTTTGTCTTTGCCCTCTGTCTCATATGACCCTGCCTCCCTTTTACACACTTTTCCTTCATCAGAATACCTTGTTTCCCCCTCTCCTCTCTGGATATCAGTGTCCATGCTGACCAATTCCAGCACAATTACATGCAAGATTCAGCATGCCTCATCATCTTTGGATATTTGGCTTTGGCTTATCACCAAGCAGACTTTCCTTTTCTATATTCACAACACTTGGAGTCTTTTATGCAAGTGTGGGAAGCCAACATTGATTCTCCAGTTAGGTTCTCCTAGGTCTAATTTTCTAGACTCCAGTTGACCCTAATCCCTGTCTTTAGGTACCTGTCTACCATGCACTTCCTAGCCAATGCTATACACTGATCCCCTGCAGGATTTTTAGACGAGACCCACACCCTCATATTTTCAATGTTAGCATGTTTATCCTCTTCTGTCCTTTCCCTCCAAACATGGCTCCTCTGCTGCTGGGACTTCCTAGGTAAGGGTGCATTTTTGTTGCAGGTGCACCTACCCATTACCTATCAGCACAACCTCAGAATGGCTCATTTTTACACAGTTCTCATTTTGGAAACACTCTGGAGTCAAGGGTAGAGTCTGCACAACAACATTCCCGAATTTCTTCTTTGGTTTCCAGGTTGTCTTAGACTTCACCTGCTCCTGCTCCCACTCCTGTTTCCCATCCCACACCTTTTCAACCTTTACTTGTTCCTCTCTTCAGGGTTTCAACGGTGAGTTGTCCTATTTCTCACTGCAGAAACACACTCACTTCCAATGGTGCTGGTGACTACCCTGTGAGTTCTGGCAGGGTAGATGCACACCTGTCCGATTTACTTACCTATTGCAGGAGTTCACTTCTGGCTCTTGGGTTCTTCAGGTGCTATCCAAAGGACTCTTCATCCACTTTATTCCCCTCCATTGTCACTAGCTCCTGTGTCCTTTCCCTTTCCTTGGTATCCCACAGCTTGCCAACATCTCTCCAAGGCAGTCCAGATTCTTCAGACTGCAATGAAACCTTGTCAGGGATCCCTTGGACTGCATTATCCAGCTCCTGCCTTTCTTCCTGGACAACTTCACATAGAGGCTACATAGAAATACCACTATAGCAGGTGATCCTCTTCTGCCTCTTTGTCCTGAGTTTCATCTGTTCACAGATACTTTCCTCAGGGGTTGGGGCAGGTTTGGAGCATCAGTAGTTTTTAGGTCATTGACCTCTGATTGAGGTGACTTTACATTTCAAAATTGTGGAACTACTGGCTGTTCATCGAGCTTTGAATCATTTCCTTCCCCCTCAGTTCAGGGCAAACTGGTCATGATTCATTCTGACCATTTGACAGTTGTCTCATACATCAATCCCCAGGGTTGCACCCATTCCTGTTCACTGTTTCTGAATGCTGGAGCTACTTTTTTTTGGGCCCACACTTCTCACACACTTGTCATTGCGTGACATGTTCCAGGTGCCTTCAATCTTGTTACACATTGTCTTTCTCATCCAGACCAGATTTTCTCCACGAAGTGGTCCTTCAACCCCCAGATTTTCCAGTGGCTATGCACACAATGGGGTATTTCTAATTTGGATGCATTTGCTACACAGCTCAACTCCAAATTGCCTCTATTCTGGTCTTCAGTATCTCATCCTTAGGCCTTGGCTGTGGATGCTCTCAGTCAAGATTGGACCTATCCTCCAATCTTACTCCTACCCAGGGTGATATTCATCATCCAGACCACTCCGTGTCAGGTACTTCTCACTGCACCTTTCTGGCCGTACAGCCCTGGTTCTCACTTCTCATCCTCCTTCAACTGACTTCCCCATTACCTCTTCCTCTTTTGCCATCCCACCTCCATCAACCTCAGTTGCTGGTTCTACATCCTGCACTTCACACACTCTTTCTTCATGTGTGGATTTTATCTAGTACTTTGTGAGGAGATCTGGAATATCCATATGTGTAGTATCCATTTTACCACATTCCATTCATCCTTTCTCACTCGTGGTTTATCAGAGAAAATGGCAGACTTTTCGCTGATGGTCTCTGAGCCTTGGTTCTACCTTTCCTGACCGAATGTACCTCACATTGCAGAATTCTTTACCTAGCTGTTTAACCTATTGCAAG